AGTCGTTTTTGGATAATCTTCAGTAGAATATTGCTTGCACAAAAACTACTTGTTTGACAATCATCAATGACAGAGTAACGAAGTTTGAAAACAGAGTTACAAACCTGATTTTCTCCGGAACCAGACATAGTAGAGCAGGACAGCTACAGCCAGGAAACCAAGCAGGCCCCCAGTCACTCCTGCAGCCAGAAAGGGGAGCATGTCCTCTGGAGGGCCTGAGAGCAGAGAGACCTATGTGAGCCTCCTGAAGGATTGGGGATTTAGGCTAGGACCTGTAGAAACTGCATGGGGGCGAGGGATGAGAGGGGTCTCTAAGTGCAAAGTGGAGACTGGTAGCAGTAAGTTTCACAATTTGAAATGAGTAAGTACTTGGTCTAATTTGTATAGCCTACTCATTTCAGGCTATTTTGAGAGGAGAATCAACTACACTAACTTCCATAATCTCCAAACTCCATTTCCAGTACAAGTCACTGAGAAAAATCCAATCTTTAGTCAACAATATCCAAGTGCCCTCTGCCACAGGTTGACACCCTCGGAATCTGTGCTCTGAAAGGAGAAGCAGGCCTGCCCAGGACTCACAACTCATGTACCATCAACCCACCTGTGATGTTGATTGACACTATGTTACTCTGCTGGGCACCTCGGCCATTGGTGGCCTCACAGGAGTAGTTCCCAGAATGCCTTGAAGTCAGAGAGAGGTTGAAGGACACTTCTCTTCCAGAGAAGGATGAGCTGTTCCCCAGGATGGCATCATTATGATAGAATAGGTACAGAATTGGAGGAGAGCCCGTTTGGGCCTGACAGAGAAGCTCCATTACATCCCCTTCCACCGCCGGGGTCCTGGCAGTTCTGAGTGTGAGGACTGGTTGAGACACTGGAACTGGTAGAGACAAAGCTGATGTCAGAGAGGATCTCTTCTGCTTGACTTCCTCCTGCATGAACTCAGCTTAAAAACACATTCCTTATCTCTTTACATGTTCAAGATCTAAACCTTTGAGGATAGTAGCTATACTATTTTGAATATTAGCAGGGCCACCTATGGTGAACAGCTTTCAATGCAACACCCAAAGTAAGACAATACTGATAAGAAGAAACTGCCTACTTCTGAAAATTAGTGAGCAAAAGCCCCATGGACCACAATAGAATACTTTCCAGTATATTCCAGTTCCACAAAAAGAGCTCTCTTAGATGGAAGTCACTCAGAATCTACAGTGGCTGCAACAACAGACTCAAACATACCCCTGACTTAATAAATGGTGCAAAACCATTTCCTGCTGTCATATCCTGTTTTACATGATGTCATCTTGGGTTAGAGTCAAGTCAACAATAATTAACAGCAACAACAGCTGCCTGTGACTACTGAGTCCTAGAAATAGTGCTAACATGTATAGATGGACACTGTTTGTTCCACAGATTTATAAAGGGTTAAGTAAATTAGAATAGAACAGACTATATTATAAAAGTGGATTTATCATTAATTTAGACAGTGATTCCTGTATATGACAGCACAGGTGTGAAAGTATTTACTCCAGAGGGTGCTCTGGTAACTTAGCGTGTAAGGAGTTGTGCTACCAATCTAAAGGCAGGTGGTTCTAATCCAAGAGTTTCACTGCAGAAGAAAGATGGACAATCTTCTCTAGTGTAATTTATAGTCCAAAAATCTCTGGAGAATCAGCTATGAGTCAGTCTGAGCTTGATGGCAATGAGTTGAGTTGAGTTGATTTACCATAGACTTGTGATGACAAACTGTAGAAATTCTTTATCTGGCCTACTGAGTACAACAGTGTTCTTTCCTTTTTGTTTTTTTTTTTTTCCCGTACTGCTATTCCTAATTTTTTTCCACCATAACTGTTATCAATTGAATTGTATACCCCCCAAATTACACGCATGTAATGATATAAAGTGGGAAGTATGCAATGATTCTCTATGATCTAACAAAAACAAGTAAAAAGATTATGGATAGAGTGTAACATTACTTAATTCCAACATAGCACTCAAGGTATATAAGGGGAGTTTCCCTAGTGTGTGGTCAATAAACAACCTCAGAGACGAAAGTCCCACTACTATCTACCAGGAGTGGATTATGCACTTTGTTGGACTTGGGTCTCTGCACCAAGAAGATCCTTGATACAGGAGAAGGTCAAAACACATGAACATCTCTGAGGAACATCATGGCCTTCCCTGTAGCTGACAATCTAAATTTCAAATGCTAGCTTTATAAACTGTAAGAGCATAAATTCCTATTTGCTAAAGCCATCCACTTGTGATGTCTCTGTTTCAGCATCATTAGACGCCAAAGGCAATAACCAGATTTTTGGCTCCCCTGTTTCTTTTGTAAGCTCAACTATTGTCAGAAAATTATTAATATTCTATAACTCAGGTTGTCTGGGACCACCTTAAAATTTATGCATGGACCTCAGGATCCCTGAGTCTAGCCTGAATACCTTTGACTGAGTTGAGGGGAAGATGAGACTCACCTTTCACAGAAATGTAAACTCTTGTGCTGGAGATGAGGCCGAAGCCATTGTTAGCTGCACAGTAATATTCCCCAGCGTGGTACTTCTTGATAACAATTTGCAGCTCTACTCTCTGGGAATTCTGAGAGGCCCTCACCACTCCTTTCTTGATCTTCCCCTTGTACCAGGAAAACTCAATGTCTCCTGTGCCAGTAGTCACAGTGCAGACAAGGACCACATTTTCTCCTTCAAACACTTGACCTGTTGGAGGCCAGATCTCCAGGAAGACCCCAGATACAGGGATTCCTGTGTGAACACAAGATCACATGAGGAACTTCACGGGGAGACATCAGGTATAATGAAGCTAAAGACATTTAGAATAAAATTAGAAAGCAGAGATCTTCAGGGAATAAGAATTGAGGATGAGCATCAATTTTGAATCTATTTATTTCCAGGAGACAAGATCCCCACCTCCCCACCTTCAGTGGCATGAGCTTCCTCCTCTTGTCAGTGGTGTGCTCATCAAGAGCCCCAGTTCCCCTAGGCTTGCTAGAATATATTATTCCAGGGAAAAAAAATAGGTACATACCTGGTGACTCAGTGGGTAGAGATCTAGTGTTGAGAAAGATTCTGGTAATATTAACCCTCCTGTTAGTGAATTCATACAAGATGACAAATAACCTTCTTTTTCATCTTTTCAGGCCTACCTCAAGCACTCCTATGTTAGTACTATCATCCCTGATGATACCTACTGTGTTATATTTGGTACCAGATATTTATCTAGCTGACTATCAGCTTCTCCTTTGTAGAAATTATACCTCAGTTGCCATTTATGTCTTCTCCAGTATCTATTTCATAGCTACAGTCAATGAGACAATACCTAATTATTTCACAATAGTTAGGACAAGTTTAGAGGGCTGTGATAGACAGAATAGTCATGAGATTTTTGTAGTCTCTTAAGAACCGTCCCTATCCTTCTTAGCTAGTAGAAAAGAGAAGCTCAGGACAGCATCATTCCCCCATTAACAAGGAAAGCTTATGAGAAAAGAATGAACCCTGACTCTCCAGACTCAAAGCATCTTTTCACTAAAACTCACGCTGTACTTGAATTATAACTTCCTGGCTCTGTTTAGAAACTCGGAAAGCCTGTGTCTTAGCAAGACATCTATAAGATCCCGAGTCTTTTCTCCACATAGCTGGGATCTTCAGCTCTGGGGACTCCCGACATGGTTCCAGGCCCAGGTTTCCTTTGAAGAAGCAGAACTCAAGCCGAGTAGATAATTTCTGTGGATGAAGCTGAGTCTCACACGTCAGAACCACTGAGCTTCCCTCTATGAGCCTGGGGGGTCTAGCTGTCAGCTTAGGAGGTAGAAATAGATCTAGAGAGAATACAAACACAACCCCAGAACAGTGAGACTCAAACTCTTGGAAAGAGGCACCTACATTCTCAGTACACAGGTCTTAGAGAGATAAATCAATGGTATTACCACTGTTTTCTCTGGCACAACTTATTTCCCAGAGTTTTCTACCCATGACTTTCCAAGGCACCTGAAGAATACACTCTTTGTCTTCCCTATCTCCTGACAGACATTTTTTGCATCCAACCCTGTTATACCTGGAGTATAGTAGTTACCTTGGACTCTGACTTCTACAACATTTGAATTTCTTCTCCAAAATATATCATCTTCTCCAGAAACAGTGCATCCATACATGCCATTACTTCTAGAGTTTGCATTTACGATAATGAAACTTGAGTTTTTTTTAAAAGTCATGAGATTTTTCCCATCCTTGTGGTAAATCATTTCGTCTAGTTCCTCTTCTTCATTTCCCCAGCAGCTCATAATCACTGTGTCTCCTTCAATGACAGACTGTGGAACTTGAAGAACCAGCTGATCTGCAGTAGAAAAAGGACACTCCACTTACTTCTAGATTTTTTTCCTCCACATGTTTACTCATCCCTTGTACCTTTTATTTCCTACGTCACCCACATGGTAATAGTTTCCCCAGAATATATCTCTCCTTCCCTAATTTCACTTTTTGCTCAGAAGTGGAAAGTTTCTGAAGTGTGACTTTCCACTTTCTAATTTGAAGAGACTACTAAGTGGGTTTGTAGGAAGGAGTTGCACTGCCAACTCAAAGGTACATGGTCCGAATCTACCAGCACCTCTGCAGGAGAAAGATGAGCAATCACTTCCTGTGTGATTTATCACCACTGAAAACCTACTGGAGGGTCAACTATGAGGCAATTCTAACTCGATAGTACATAACAGAACAACAGTGGGACACATAGCCCCATTGTGTTCCCTCTGTTTCAAAGTACTAAGATCTTTTTTACTACCTCACCTTGAAAACTGGTGTGCCCTCGGGGATGGAAGAACATCACGGCATTTGATTGGGAAGCTGTCAAGGTAAAAAAATGGATATGGAATAAGCCTTTGTTGGATACTAGACACTGGGGTATACAAGAAGTCATTCATCCCTCACAACTATCCATAATGTTGTTACCATCATTACCATTTTTTTTAATCTAGTGAAGGTAAGATTTCATTATCAATTTACCTCACAGTAACCATTCTACTCCTACTGTATTTACAGAAAAGATGAAAAAGAAAAGCCCAGGGTAGCATCATCCTGTCCAAGCTTACAGAGCCAGAATTGTAATGAGGATAAGATTTTAGCCATAGGAGAGAATTTAAGATCATAATCTTGTTGTTGTTGTTGTTGTTATTATGTGTCATCAAGTTGCTTGTGGCTCACAGCGACCCAATGTACAACAGCCCTAAACCTTGCTCTATCTCCTGCCAACCTTGTTGTCTCTGACACACCTATCTCCATTACCCCAGTAATGGAATTGATCCATCTCACCAAGGGTCTTCCTCTCCTGCACTGTCCCTCCACCCTCACAAGCATGGCATCCCTCTCCAAGGACTGATCCTGCCTTGCAACATGTCCAAAGTATGTCAGACAGAGCTTCAGAATCCTTAGCTCCAAGGAGCAGACTGGTTTGTTCCCCTAGCAGTCCATGGTACATTCAATACTCTTCTGTAGCATTAAAGCTCAAAGGCATCAATTCTCTTTCTATCATCCCTAGTCCAGCTCTCTGATGCATGACAAGTAATAGAAAAGACCACGGCCTGTATCAGGAATACCTCAGTCTCCAGACTGACATCATTGCTCCTCAGTACCTTCAAGAGGTCTCTTACAGTAGATTTTCCCAGTGCAATTATTCTTTTGATTTCCTGGTTACTGATACCAAGAGTGTTGATTGTAGAGCGAAACAAATGGAAGCTGTCAACAATCTCAATCTCTTCACCATCTGTCATGATGATGCCAATTAACCCAGTGGTGGGAATCTTTGTTTTCTTCATGGTGAGCTTCTGTCCATATTGAAGACTGTAATCCTTGACGTTCTGCAGCAAGTGCTTCAGTTCCTCCTCAGTTTCAGCAAGTAGGGTTGCATCATCTGCATAACTCAGATTGTTGATGCGTCCACCTCTAATCCTGATGCTACACTTCTCATAGAGCCTAGCCTCCCAAATAATCTGTTCCATATACAGAGATAGGACACATCCTTGATGCACCCTTTCCCCAATTTTGAACGGTTCAGTGTTTCCTTGCTCTGGTCTGACAACTGCCTCCTGGTCTAAGTTTCACAAAAGCACAATCAAGTGTTCTGGGATTCCCATTCTTCTCAAAGTCTGCCACAGTTTGTTGTGATCCACACAGTCAAATGCCTATGCAAAGTCAATGAAACACAGATGGACATTCCTCTTGTACTCTCTGCTTTCAGCCAAGTTCTATCTGACATTAGCTATAATATTCCTATTAGGTGATATTCTTTTCTTGAGGAAAACCTTGAGGAAAATCACCAAGATTGGTTGTTGTTGTTGTTGTTATGTACTGTTGAGTCTCTTGCTACTCATAGCAACCCTGTGTACAACAGCCCTAAACCCTGCTCTATTCTATGCCAATCTTATTGTCTCTTATACACCTACCCTCATTACCTCAGTCACTGAATCAATCCATCTTATTGAGGATCTTCCTCTCTTGCACTGTCCCTCCACCTTACCAAGCATGATGTTCCTCACCAAGGACTGATCCCACCTTACAACATGTCCAATGTATGTCAGACGAAGCTTCAGAATCCTTGCCTCCAAGGAGCAGCCCAGTTTCACCCTCTCCACCACAAACCTGTTCATTCTTTTAGCAGTCCATGGTATATTCAACACTCTTCTCTAGCACCACAGCTCAAAGACATCAATTCTCCTTCTATCATCCCTAGTCATTGTTCAGCTTTACAATGCATAGCTAGTAATTGCAAAGACCATGGCCTGTATCAGGCACACTTTAGTCTTCAGAATGACATCTTGCTCTTCAGTACTTTGGAGAGGTCTCTGACAGCAGACTTTCCCAATGTAATTCGTTAGGTTTCAAAAAACCTCATTCTAGCTTGTGAGCATCCAAGAAATCAGGGAACACTCCTTTCTTTTGATTGGTTATGACACTTCCTTAACATGATATTTCATGAACATCAGTGCCTAAAATGAATAAGAACAAACTAGTAAATATTTAAAGGCAAAATTTTCTGTTTTCTACATTCTATACAATCCAGACCGTATGTTGAGGAGCTGAATTAGGTTCAGTGGCCTGGTGGTAAGAAGTTGTGATGCAATCACAAAGGCACGTTGTTAGAATCTATCAGGTACTATGCAGGAAAAAGATAAACAATCTCCTCCCATGCTATTAACTACCTTTGAAAACCCACTGGAGAGTCAGCGATGAGTTGGTCCCAATGTGATGGCATCCAACAAGTAAGTACTAGGAGCTCTGTTGGCTTATTGGTAAGGAGTTGGACTGTCAACGCAAAAAGCATGGGAAAACTGCTTCTTGGTCTAGTAGATTTCATATGAACACAATTACGTGTTCTGGGGTTCTTATTCTTGTCAATGTTGACTCTAGTTTATTGATCCACATAGCCTGTGATCCACACGGTCAATATGCCTTTGCATAGTCAATAAAATACAGATAGACATTCCTCTGATATTCTGTTTTCAGCTAGGAATCTATCTGTCATCAGTAATGATATCTCTAGTGCCACAGCCATAAATAAAGAATAAAGCATTAATCTTACCCTTAAGAATCTTCTGAGCTAATGGTTGTCATTGTTGTTTTGTTGTTAAGTGTCATCAAGTGAATATAATTCATAGTGAATCTATGAACAATAGATCTGGACTGTGTCCTATCCTGTGCTGCAATCACTGTGTCAATCCATCAGATTGAGGGTCTTCCTCTCTTTCACTGGCCATACACCTTTCCAAGCATGATATGTCCTTTTGTAACAAATAACCCCTCCTAACAATATGCCCAAAGTATGTGAGAAGAAACTTCACCATCTTTGTCTCCAAGGAGCACTCTGCCTGCACCTTCTTCAAGACATACGTGTTAACTCTTTTTGTGGTTGACAGATATTCAGTACTCTTCTCCAATGCCACAACTCAAAGACATACGTTCTTCTGTCATTCTTATTCACTTACCAGCTCTCAGATGCACAGCAAGTGATTGAAAAGACCATGACCTGAATCAGGTACACTTTAGTTTTGAAACTGATATAATCAATCTTTCGTATTTTGTAGAAGTCCTTGATAGCAGACTTTCTCAATGCAACATGTCTTTTGGTTTCTTGAGTGCTAATGGACAATTATAATGCAGTTTGGTAAAGTTATTACAATGGAAAGGATTATGAGGGTTATGAGGGTGCAGGGGAGAGAAGGTCATCAAACATCTCCCTTTTGCTGAATAATTAAAGGGCATTTATGTAGTTTATGATGTATCAGGGGTCAATTAGACTTAAAAAATTAACCCTAATGCAAATGACCACTTGAGATGTCTTTGAGTCATTTGTCAAACACTTTAAACATTAGATACATCTTTAACAACCCAACAATTGACTCATATCTATGCTAAATTCTGTAACTTCTGTATTTTTATTATTTTGTTTCAAATATTTTTATTGCATATATGTACTTTTAATTTTAATAAGTGTTCAAATATGGATTACAAGTCAGTTCTTATTTATTTAATGTTATTATAGTGATTATAAGGAATATCATGTAAATATTGTCTTCTCCATACTTACCCTTTAATTTAGATTCCAGGAGAAACGAAGTCAATACAAATAGGGGTTGCTGTGATGCTGAAGTCTGTGACAGTGATGTGCCAATCGTGGTAATGGGTACCCATGGTGGACAGTGTTGGCTGGAGCTTCCCGACTAAATCAAGCCTGGAAGCAGCAGCGGCATCCACTTCCGAAATGGCTTGCCTTCCAGAATAATTGTATCATTTTACAATAGCACCATTCCACCAACACTGTATAAGTGTTCATACCTCACCACATCCTCTCCAACATTTATTACTTGCTGCCCTGCTAAAACTTTTGGATTCCTCTGCAGTAACAAAGAGAACTCAGACAAGGACATCAATAAAGCAATACCATTTACAATAGCCAAACACAAATAGAGATACTTGAGAGTGAATCTAACTAGAGACACAAAACACCAATACAAAGAAAACTACAGACCATTTTTGCCAGACACAGTAAAAGACCTAAATAAATGAAAAAATGTTCCCTTTTCATGTATAAGAAGACCTAATGTTGTGAAAATGACAATCTTACCAAAAGCATTCTACATGTTTAATGCAATACCATTACAGATACCAAATTCATTTTTCAAGAAAATTGAAAGGGAATTTGTTGAGTTTATTTGGAGAGGAAAGAGACCCCAAATAAGTGAAGAACTTCTGAAAAACAAAAATGAAGTGGGAGAAATAGCACTTTGTGATCTCAAAACCTACTACATAGCAGTAATAACCAAAACAGCGTGGTACTGGTACAATGATAGGCAAACAGACCAATGGAACAGAATTGAGTACCCAGAAATGAACACATCTGCCTATGGTCAACTGGTATTTAACAAGGAAATAAAGCCTATCAAATGGGGAAATTACAACCTCTTCAACAAATGGTGATGGCCAAACTGGACTGCTACTGAAACAGGATTCATATCTCACACCATACACAAAAATCAACTCAAGGCAGATCAGAGACCTGGGAATAAAGCCCCAAACCCTAAAGTTCATAAGAGACAAACTGGGATCAAGTTTAAAAGGCCTAGTCTACGGTATAAGCAGACTGCCAAATACAGACAGAAATACACAATCAGAAGAAGATAAAATGTTTGTGTCTAGTTAGTAGGTTTTCTTTTCACTCTGTTGAAAAAAAGTTTTTGATGAGCACAGAGATTTAATCTTTAGAAGGTCTCATTCGTCAAACATTTGGCAATACCATCTCAGACAAGCGTCTCATGATGAAAGTTTACAGGA